ATATAATTACACTATACATTATACAATACGTACAATTATACAATTATATACAACACAGATATTTGTATACTGTATTATATAATTATACAATATATACAATTATATAATTATAATACATACATACATAGTTATATAATTATGTACAGATATTTGTATAGTATATTGTACAATTATATAATTATATACAATACAGATATTCGTATATTATATTGTATAATTATACAATTCACTCAGTTGTCATTTATAATCTTCAGATAGCACGCTTATTCCTTCTAAAGATCTGGCAGTTCCTAGATCTGGATCTGTTCAAGGATCTGTTTTCGTTCAATGTGAATTTTATGCACGACCGATTTTCTTTACACTTTTTTCTTTTCAAAACGATCTCTAACAAGATCTGTCTACACACACATAGTCATCAATTGATGTTTGATCGATTTTTTTTTTTTTCATTCATTTGCCAGATCGAAGATCTCGACCTCGAGATGAATCGAGACTACATTCTAATTAGAGACGGCGACTCGCCGATGAGCAGATCGATAGCGAGGCTAACTGGCAAGTTGGACGACAACCCTACGGTGATCATGTCGACCGGAAGTAACCTGTACCTCTACCTGAAGACGAGCCTCGGCGACTCGAGGAAAGGTTTCAGCATTCGCTACACTCAAGGATGCAAAGCAACGATCATTGCTAGAAACGGGACTGTTCAGTCGCCGTCATTCGGCCTCAACAACTATCCCAACAATCAAGAGTGCTTGTACAGGGTGAAGAACCCTCAGGGAGGACCGTTGTCCCTGAAGTTCGTCAGCTTCAACGTTCACAAGACCGACTACGTTCAGGTAGCTTATTTTCACAAGTAATAACTCTTCGTCAGGGAACGAATTTTGTAATTTCACTTCCGAAGAAATTCAATTCAATTTCATTTCATTTCTTCCATTAACTGTTCACATATGTGGCCAACGGCGTGAATAGGCTAATTATACGACTATACAGTTCGACGTAGAGTTAATTGAAAAGATAGGTAGATTTATGTTTGTTAAATTTATTCGCAAAGTCATACTTTCGCTAGAAATTAATTTCAGAAATTAAATTAAATTTATTACCATTTAATTCATCGCGTTAAAAAAAAAAAAGAAAATTTACTTTCGCCGATTACAACTGGTCATCACGATTCGTGGAGGATGATTCATCTGTTTCGATCGATACAGATATACGACGGCCCGAATACCAATGGCCTGCGTTTGCACCCTGGCAACGGGTTTACGTCGAACACTAGGCCAAAGATCACCCTGACGGCCGAGAGCGGCGAAATGCTGGTTAGATTCACCTCCGACGCTCTCCACAGCAGCTCTGGCTGGCAAGCAGAGTTCTCAGCAGGTACTTGTCTATCTTATTAGTTTGAAGAAACTTTCACGAAAACTTCCTTTTAACACATTGTTGACCGGCAGAAGAATTTCCATCTCATGTCGTTTCAATAATTGCGTATGAACAATCAAAATAAATTTTTCAATATACTTATACAGGATGAATATATTATACATATATATATATAATATATTATTATATATTATATTAATATATTATTATATTATATAACATATATTAATAATATAATTAATATATATATTATAATTATAACATAATTATTAATAATATAATTACCATTATATTAATATATAATTAATAATATAATTACCATTATAATAATACAATTACC